CATAAGCTGCAGCTAGTTGAGCTAATGCATCTTCGTTGACGTTCTGGGTACGAGGAATTTGTCGAATCTCATATTTTGAGAAATGGCCGAGCTGGTCTTTTACCCGAGAAAGGTATTTCGTCATCCGTGATTCTCTAGCCTGTAATTCCTCTTTTACCTGACTTACAATTAGCTGCGAATCACTGAATATCAGTATGTTCTTGACCCCAATATGCTTGGCCACCTTTAATCCTACTAGCATAGCTTCGTATTCGGCTTCGTTGTTGGATGCATGGAAACTAAATCGCAGTGCATATTTGAATCTCTCCTTATTTGGAGAGACTAATAGAAGTCCTGCTCCACATCCCCGAAAATTTGATGATCCATCTACGTAGAGCGTCCAAGGTTGCTTTTCCTCAACTAGCTGTGGGTTGATGTTACATACCTGAGGCTCCACTGGTGTCAATTCTGCTATGAAGTCTACAACGACCTGCCCTTTAATGATAGTTCTTGGCTTATAGTGAATTTCATACTCGCTGAGCTCCACGACCCATTTCATAAGTCACTCTGAAGTGTCTGGCCTTTGCAAAATTTGTCGTAAGGGAAAATTGGTGAGGACAGTTATCCTGTGGGCTTGGAAATATAGACGTAGTCTCCGAGCTGAAGTAACCAGGGCTAATGCCAACTTCTCAATTTATAGGTATCTAAGCTCTGCATCTACCATTGCTTTACTTGTGTAGTATACTAGGGATTGTCGTCCATCTTCTTCTTTTATCAACGCAGAACTCACTGCAGTGTCGGATACGGCTAAGTACAGGTAGAGTTCATCACCCGCGACCAGCTTTGCAAGAAGTGGGGCTGCCCCAGATATTGCTTTAGCTCTTTAAAGACAACTTCACACTCTTCTGTCCATTCAAATTACCTTTTCTTCCTTAGGATTTTGAAGAACGGTAAGCACTTGTCAGTTGAGCGGCTAACAAATCTATTGAGTGTTGCTATCCTTCCTTTGAGTCCCTGTAGTTGTTTTAGATTCCTGGGTGGATCCATCTTCAAAACGACTTTCATCTTATCCAGGTTGGCTTCGATTCCCCTTTGGTGCACTAAAAATCCTAGAAACTTGCCAGAGGTTACCCCGAATGTGCACTTAGTAGGATTCAGCTTCATCTTGTACTTTCTCAAAATGTCAAATGCCTCTGCCAAATCATCCTTATGTCGCTTGCTTTTTCAACTCTTTACCAGCATATGGTCTATGTAAACATCCATATTTTTGCTGATTAAGGTTGTAAACATCTGATTTACCATGTGTTGATAGGTCGCACCTGAATTCTTCAATCCGAATGACATCACCGTGTAGCAATACAAACCTCGACTGATCCGGTAAATGCATCTTGATTTGATTATACCCAGAGTAGTCATCCATGAAACTCAATCTTTCATGTCCCGCAGTGGCATCAACCAGTTGGTCTATTCGCGGTAAGGGGAAGGAATCCTTTGGACACGCCTTATTTAGGTCTGTGAAGTCAGTGCACATTCTCCATTTACCGTTTGACTTTTTTACTAGCACAACATTGGATATCCACTGGGGATAATGTACTTCTCGAATGAAACCTGCTTTCAGTAGCTCTTCTACCTATTCAGCTACAATTTCATTCCTTTCTTGGTTGAATGCACGTTGCTTCTGTTTCACTAGTTTATAGCTTTCATCGACATTGAGTCGGTGTACCATGATTCCTCGATCGATTCCTGGCATGTCTCATGTAACCATGCGAACACGTTGGTGTTGCTTTGGAGGAAGTTTATAAGACTTTCCCTTTCCTCATCCCCCAATCTGGTTCCAATGTTAACTCGTCGATCCTCGACTATCAGAGGAACAGATTCTACCTCCTCAGTCGGTTCTCCCCTGTTAGGGTGGTCGGGTTAAGTTGATGACCAGGGCTCGGATTTACCTCACCCGAGTGGTCGGTCGGATTAAGTCGATGGCCTGGGCGTGAACTTGCTTTTCTCGAGTGGTCAATAGCTCCGGTCTGGATCTTCTTTTCAAAGTGTTGCCAGCCTTCACCTGGGCTTGTGTCGACCTGCTCCATTCTACCCTTTTTTGATCTGGGGTTTGTCTCGACATATATAGGTTTCGGCTCGACATATCTGGTTTTCGCCTCAGCAGATCTAGGTTTCACCTCGACAGATCTAGGTTTCGGCTCGACAGATCTGGGTTTCACCTCGGCAGATATGGGTTGAGCCTCGGCAAATCTGGTTTTTGCTTAGGCAGATCTGGATTTGGACTGTGTCGTCCCCATAGATGGTGCCAATTGTTGATACGTGAATTTTGCTCTCTCGATTCCTTCCGAGGTTCGCACCAAACTTGATAAGTAGGGGAGAAAGAACCTGCAAAACCAATCAAACCTAAACTGGTGTGACTCCGGTCATACGAGCTCCGATGTCTAAGTTAGCAAGGAGAGTAGATGGATATGGAATTAGAGTATAGAGAGTAGGGTGTGTTTTTTCATACCTCTAGGGTTCTGTCCCTCTCCCTCTTATAGTAGCACCATCTGAATCCTAGTAGATTTCAGACCCGTTACGGGTGTAAGTGCGAAACGGGAGGTACTGCGAAATGGTCGGGTGGGCCGTTACAGTTCTCGACCGAGGGCCGAGAACTACTTGGTGCCGAGGAGGTCTCGTTGTCGAGGCCTTCTCGGTGCCGAGACGCTTGGTCGGCTGAGGTCGACCCGGGTTGGCTTGGGTCGACATTTTTCAGCACTTACTTGGCCCGTGCGCTTCTTCCCCGGTCTAATATTTGCTTTTGTTCCCTATAACATGATCAATAAAGAAAATGTGATATAATATTTCAAAAATATCATTTTCTATAAAATGATATGTTATGAATGTTAAATATGTCCGTAGAAAAAATTAAAAATAGTTACGAATGAAATTGAGAATTGGAACTTTTCATTCTTTGAAAGGTTGAAACCAAAAGAAATAGTTACTAATGAAATTGAAAGTTAATAAATACTTAACCTATTGTTATTTAGGTGCATTTGATATCCATTTCGTTTTTTATTTTCTGTTTTCAAAAATTAAAAGGCCTAGAAACATTATTTTTACCTATGCGTTTCTTTCTTTTTTTTTTGTTAACATATAGGTAATTTTCTAATTTAGTTTCGTAAATGTATTGTTCCACAACTTATTCAATTTAATTAGTGTTGAATTGCATAAGTTTTTTCTCTTTTTCTTTTAAAATTTTTTGAAATAGAAACTTCATAAAAGAGCCTCATCGTGGGGCTACATGTGAATCATCTCTTCCCCTTGATGCATATATCAAGAAGCCACATGGGAAAGGTGTTGTTCCCAAACATGGCTTGATTAGCAAGAAATTAGTGAGGTAGCTACATTATTATTGATTTCTATTGGAACACAATCGCCTTCGATTTTTTTAAGCCAACTTCCAAGTTCCTCCTTCGATAATATATTCTTCCTTACGTTTTATCAAATTTCGAGGGAATCATTTTTGTAAGACATTATTTATTTATTATTTTTTTAATTATGACTTGAAATTGGACAACTATTTCGAGCTTTCCACTCTAACTAAGGCATTTACACCCTCCACCAGACCTCAACTTAAGAGACATCAAAGATTTTTCTATTAAACTAACCTAAAGGTTGGAACTTGAGATCTTTAAGTCGATATGACCAAGAGATCCCGAACCCTTGGCAATAGGACCATCCAGAGTGGATTTTTATAAAACATTATTAATGTTTTTTTGTCATCACCAATATCTCTAATTTCTCACAAACTATTCCTGACAACTATTCTAAATGAGAAGTACTTTTTTTAGAGTACAATATGTGGGTAGGAGGATTCTAATTCAAGACCTTCCAATGGGACAGTACCCTTAACTTATTGGATGCTAAAGTTGACCAGAAATTAAGTTATTTATGGTGGTAAATTCGAGAGGTTTTAATGAGCAAATTAAAGATATTCATAGAAAATAAATAAACAAGAATGTATAGGAGTGGCAGCATTTTGTTCGAAAATTGGGAATTTTGACCCATTTTCTAAAAAATATTTATCAGTGACCCCTCTATAACTTAGTTTTGACCCATTTCACTTTTATCTTTCTGTTTTTCAAGAAAGGTAAAATTCTCCACCATCTTGGTTTTCTTCCCAATCTCTCACCTTAAAACTAAGACCATTTTAATTTGGAGATTCAATTTCGATTACCAAAAACAAAAAGTTTGTTACCACAGATAATTCTCTAACAAGAGCATGAGCAACCTCATTTAACTCTCAACAAACATGCAGGAAAACTAGGGCTCGTTTGGTAACGTTATTATTTCATATTTCTATATTTTTTTTTAACGAAGAAAAATGTGTTGCATGGTTTCAACCTCTAAGAATTCAAGTACGATAAAACAATGTTTTTATTTATGTTTTGAAACAAATTGGAAATGAGAACAAGAAAAGAGAAACTCGTTAGTCGTAAAATTCTTAGATTTCTTAAGAAAATTGGAAACGAGAAAAGAGAAATGAAAAATGTTACCAAACGGATCCTTAATTTCACGAAAGTAACAAGCGAGATGTCTGACATTTTGAATCGAAGTTGCAATTTTCACCACAATATTATTGATTTAATACATTGCATGTAATAGAAATACATAACATTCAAAATACAAGTTTAGCTGATATCGGGTATGCTGACTTGAAATTTGTAAACGTATTCGGATTGTAAATTAGAATTTCTTAATTTCCGCCATGTAATTGTAATGTAATATTTGTTTTTTTTTAAATCCAAATTATATATTTATATACCTAATTCTACCATCGTTGGGAGAGAGTCGAATCATCGAATTTTAGAATACTAATAGATGTAAGATAAATGTATGGTTAAGTTGTCACATATATATTTCAATGGAAAATCGATATAACACAGCGGTGTTTCAACAAAAAAATAAAAAATAAAAAAAATCAAGAGATATGAAAAAGAAAAAAAAAACATCATGAACAGATTAAATACCATTTATTCCAATAACGTTGGCTAATTTAAAGTGATCAGAATTTTGTATCTTTATTCCTGTAATTCCCTCTCGGGATTTTATGAACATTTAAAATTTACAGCAACACAGAAAATAACATTAACGTTGCCACGAATCGAATTTCACAACTGTCGTTTATTGCGTCGACCGTCAAGTTTAGCGACGCAACAAAGCAGCCGGCGGAAGACGGAGAGAAAGGCGGCGCCCGTGACGGCGGTCAAACACCGGCTTTTCCTCCGGGGGACGGCGGCGATCTCCTCCGCCCTCCGCCGCGGCCTAACTTTTCGGAAGCACTTCTGGGTTCTCTCAGGGACCGTCTCCTCCCTCGAGAACGTGTAGCTCCTCAGGTACATTTGCCGGCGAGAGATTCCGTTCACCTCTCTTGGCCGACGCCGGACGAACTCAGCGTCGGACTCCGGCCACCGGTGGAGCCTCACGTGCGTCGGCCGGCCGGCGGGGACGACGCACGTGTTGTCGATGCAATCTGATATGCAGACGGAGGCGGCCATCGCTCGCCGGCGAGGCTGACGATTGTTTGTAGAAAGAACTTTGGGATTTTAAAGACAATTAAGGGAATAATTATTGGAATAATATTGCAAGAGAGAGATGAGATTAGTATTGAGTTTTGTTTTGGTAAATTACATTTTTGTCCCTCGATTATCAATTTAAATTTTATTTAGTTCTTGGACTTTTCATTATTGTCTCTATTCTAAATGGAAGTTAGTTTTGATGTCCTTGTCATCAATGTTTAGTTAATGACAAGTTATCTATCCATATTAAAACAAAAAATATTTGCCAATATAATGTTTATGAAAAATTTTATTAACTTTCTGATGTGATTTATTTTTATTCGTTTATAAATTTGGGTGAGATCTATTTATCTATTGAATGTAAAAGAATAAGGTCGATAAAATTATTTTGCATTAAAAAATTTATATGGTCTCGTTTAGATAAGTATTGTATAGGAGTTTATGATCTGACATTTCGTTTCAATAACAATGGAGTAGGTCAAATGAGTTAAAAACATGAATTTTGAATTGACTTTTTAGCTTTCTGTTGACTTAATATATTAGAAAAATGACAGGGTTAATTGCATATTTTTCCTAGTAAAATTTAATTGTCTTATTTATTTAGAAAAGTAAATCTGAATTTCCTATGTGGTCTTTTTCATCCTCAGCCTATCTAAGCCGAGGTATGAACACGTGCTTCTAAAAGATCTTCTAAAAGACCACCTGGCAGGTCCTCATTCTACCCATAAAAATAATAATATCTTATAATAAAATAATGAAATTCAAATAAAAGAAAGGATAGACAACAATTCAAAGCTCAAGAGATAACGGGTAACATAACTCAATGGATACGGTATTTATTAGCATCTCTAAAGTCATCGTGATTTGATCCCTCAAGAGCCAATGTTGAACTCAAATATATATGTGTGAGACAAAGGGAATTATATATATATAATAAAAACGATAGCCACACAATAGTATTGCATTATATAGTATAAAGTTTTCCCACAAAGTGACACGCAAAATGGACAAGAAAAATACACCAACAGATTTGGTCTGGCTTCGATATCTCCACACAATTAAGCCCCTACTATGTCTACTTCCTGGATTGTATCCATCAATATTTTGTCCATAACTCTTAAAGAAATGAAATGATCGATCAAAATAAATTAAGTATTTGGCATCTTCTTGTCACCTTTGTAGTAGTTAACTCAGTGGTGCTTGTCAAAATGACTTCAATGATCGAATTAGTGTGCCCCTAGCAGGAGAATTCAAGATATAGTAAGAGCCCAAGGAGCGTGTTGGGATTTATGTCTGAAATCTTGTAATTCATTAATAAAATAATTTGATTGGTTGTGAGTGCTTCATTTTGTGGAAATTCAAGGTTACTAATGTAATTGTGAACAATATTTAGTTCACGTCGAAAAGGATTATGTTTATGCAAGAATTTGCACAACGGTTCTTCACGAATCGAGCTCGAACCCGGTCCCCGGTTCCGACCTGAACACTAGAGTGGACCTAAACAAGAGGGTAAGCACTCCGACGCTCAAGTCAGTATAGATCGGACTCCTTATTTAGTTCGAGGTGAGATTCGATACCTGAGCGTGAAATGAAGCCCTCTATTTATAGGTGACGGATCCGACAGAACACACGACCGGCGGTTACATGTCTTTTCTCATATCGGACCTGTCGGGTTCCGAGCAGGTCAGACCCCAGTCAGGTCGAACTTTGGTGCCCATACATCTTTCAAGGGGCAAATCCAGTCACCTCGGCGGGGCCGAGGTGGACCTA